ACGGACGGGCGTAGACGGCAGCACCAACCAGGGTAAAAAGGAAGGGGAAAGGCGGAGCCATCCTCGGCAGAAGCCAACAGAAGCGCACTGGACGAGAAAGAATGCGAACGAGGACGAATCTCAAGAAACCAACAAGCCAAAAATCGTACGGGCAAGACTCTATCGGTCTTTCCACTCATGCGCTTCCCTAGCACACCCAACTATTCAAGCCAAACGAGGTCCCTCCACCATCTTGCTGCAGAATGCCCAGTCACGCCATGGCGCTTCTCTTTTCCGAATGTCGGCCGTGGGTTCGTACCAAACAGGATTCCGCGCTACCACCTACGGTATGCTTGATTCGGTTGGCAGCCCTCTCTTCAGCTCGTTAGCCATGAAGAGGAGAAAGGCGCAAGAGGGCAATCTTGGTCATCCACAATGGTGCGTCGAAGTCAAAGACTCGTCCACACCGCCCGAATTTGTTGTTTGCCCAAAGCATGTCGACCGCGAAGGGCTTCTGTTGATTTATCTGTTGGATACTGTCTTGCAATGACATGGGAGATCCCGCCTTTCTGCACTCCTTGGGCCATTTCGACAGGCTTCCCTTGTTTCGGCAGGAAGAAAGAACAAAGGGAAAAGCGCCATACGTCGGGCCGTTTCGCTTGCACTTCGCTCTGCAGCGTGTCGTCGTACATTTTGCGGAAGTACAAATGGTACGAGCCATGCTAAACCGAAGCAAGCTGAAGGGAGGAAAGGGCAGTGTCGTCTTTCGATTTCTTGGTTTGGTTGGTCTGTTATGGTGTGGCCCGGCTGGACTTGGACTGGCCGCGCCTGGGCGGCGCCGAGTCCAGTCGACGCCGCGTAGCTGACGTTGCCTCGATGGCTGGCTGAGATGTTGGCGGCCGACGAAAAGAAGGGGGAAGAAAGGACCTAATGCCCGGCCGTTTCCTTGCCACCCTGCCGATGGTACCTGTCGTCCTGTCTCGTCTTGGTCTTGGAGACGACAGAGTGCCTTGCTATGTCCATGTGAACAGGGCGTGTCCGGCTCGGTTTAGTCGCATCCTCGGGTCGTTGCAGTGGTACGGGCACAAGGTGACTTAACCCTCTATTCGTACACACACACACACACACACACACAGAGAGAGAGAGAGAGAGAGAGAGAGAGAGCCTGGGTGAGGGCGGTACGGGCTACCTTGGCTGGCTTGGGGTAAGCAGGGCGCACTCCCTCAATAGCACCGTTCCTACCATGCACCTACACTAGAATGCCAACTGGGTACTCATCGATGGATGCAGGCAGCTCCTAGCTGGCGGAGGCGCCAGCGCCAGCGTTGAAGCAAACCGCGGCCCCTAAAACCAAGGGGATCTAAGGGGTAGGGAGGGGGGATACTCCCGTCCATGATTAAAGTCACCCATTGGGCAGTGCGACATCATCCGCCCGCTGTGCCATTCCCGCCCGTCTCCACCTTTGCAACATCCACGCTTTCGAGGCGAGGGACGGGGGGGCGGGAGGGGGTGTGTAGGAGGACTTGGAACAGAGGAAGAAAGAGAGCGAGGGAGGAGGAGGAGGAGAGAAAGAGACGAGGGGGACGGGAGACAGAGCGAAAGTAGGGTGTGGGGGGGGGGGGGGGTAGGGATAACAAGCTCCCATTTCCATCTGGTGCAGCGTGCAGACGCAGAGAGAGAGAGAGAGAGAGAGAGAGAGGTGCAGGTTGTGGCCGCAGGTGCAGCAGGCCCAGCAGGATCATGGACAGAAGACCAGCCAGGAGGGAGCGCAAGGGCGACAGCATACCTACCGAGAAGAGAAGAGAGGTTATGTTGGCCACGGATTCTGGCCTTGATGGCGGATTGTTGCCGGCGCAGGTCAATGACTCTGGTAGCATCTCCATGGCTTGCCAAAACGCCAAAGGCATCTTGTCCCATGCTGCGGCCAACCCTCCTCGTTCCTCACTCGCCCTGGCCCATCCCATTTGCCCTCGATCAAGGTACCGCTGCCATCCGCATCTCCGACCATCACCGTCACCACCACCGCCACCAACCCATTCACAGCCTCCAACCATCCATACGTCTGTCCTTCATCCCCATCACCATCACCATCATCATCATCATGGGGCCCGTCATCCACCACCCGCCCTGCCGGCTCCAAGGTATCGGGTGTTCTGGCATCCTGCGGGTACTACTGCGCATCCTCACCTCGGGCCATGCCTCGCTTGCCCTGTCCGGGCAGTCTGCTGCTGTTTACATTAACAGCGCCTACCTGGTCTGGTTTTGACACTTCTTGCTTCACTGCCCCCATTCTTGGACTAACTCGGTCCATTTTGCCGTGTTCCCATCCCTCCTTCCTCACCCCCATCTCATCCCATCTTGCCAGCTAGGTGATTCTGCAGCTGACGCAGGAAGCACGGCTGGCTACCGGCCGACCAGCCCAACTGCTACCTTGACTCTTTTGACTTTGGCCTTTCCGAGCAACGCTACCCAAACCCCCATCTCGAATACGACTGCCCATCCTTTGCACGCGGTACCGAGACACGAAGCGCGAGCCAAGGCGGGAACAAGACGACAGGCTTAAGAATAGACAACAAGCGGCAACTGCTACCAGTGTCAAAGGACGATGCACGGGGACGTCACACGCAAACATCAGGTATAGCTGGGTTTCCCGCCTTCGCCTCTCATTGTTCATTCATTCGCTCCTCGGCGTCCTCCTTTCCTTCATCTGCACTACCGAGAGGCAAGGCGGGGGCGAGCGAATCGAGTCGCGTCGAGTACAACTTTGAGCCCAAACCATGCCGTGGGGGATCTCCAGCCAGCTAGCCAGCCAGCCAGCCAGCATCTCGGGAAGAAAGCAAAATGTCCCTTGGCCGGTTACCTAAGCGACCTCGACCTTCCATTTCCCGGCTTGCCTGGCCTTTGATAAATTATAATAATCAAACGACGGAACGGTCGAGGGCGGTACGGTGCGGTTCGGTACGGTACCTTCCTTGCCCTTACCCTTCCTTCGCCGCTGCCTTACCACACCTCACCACTCGACTGGGCCCTGGCGTTCGGCGTCCGACGTCTGGCGTGCGCCTTGCGGGTGTACGGTGTGCGGTGTGCGGTGTGCGGTGTGCGGCGCGCGGCGTGCGTGTGTATGTATGTATGTGTGTGTATGTGCGTGTGTGCGTGCGTGCGTGCCTGTCTCTCGTCTGTCTGTTCTGTCCAATCTGCCTCTGTTTATCTCTTGCCATATCCTTCTTGCCTTACTGTCCTGCCGGTCGCCCAGTCGGTGCCAGCCTACCTGCCCTGCCCTTGCCCTGCAACGCGACTCCGTCACTGACTGCTGGTGCTCGTGGTGCTGCCCTGGTGCTGGCCGCCCCTTCCACATCCCATCATTTGCCAGGTTGCCATCCCTCATCCCCGTTCTTCATCCTCTTCCACCCCCCTGGGCCGCCGTCTCCACACCCACCTCCAAGGTGCGAAGGCAGTACGTACCTCGTCCGTCCTGGGTACTTGGGTGAGGTACCTCTGTACCTGTCGGGCCCCACACCACCTACCTTGCAGCTCTGGCGCTCTCCCAGTCTCGCGCTCTCTCTCTCTCTCTCCCCCCTCTCCTCCTCACGACGCACGCCTCCAACTCTTGCGCAATCCCTGCCTGCCCGGCATGGTACCGCTTCTTCCCTGGTACTTTCCCTTCCTACCCCTACCCCCCGTACCGCACCGCACCGCTCCATGCCATGCTCGCCCATCCAAGTCCAAAGGTACGGACGGGCCCAGAAGACCAAGGACCAAGGTACTCACACGCTCGTCGACGGATACTTCTATCTTAGTGTGCTTCTTTCCCTTCTTACATACATCTCTGGCACAATCCCTCTCCTTCCACTCCACCACCTGGACCTACCTTTTTTTACATTACATTACCCGCCTTGCGCCTGCCTTGCCTTGCCGGCCTTACCTCACCTCCTCTCTCACCTCCTTCCCTCCACCTCAACCTCCGTCAAGGTGAGCTTCTTGCACTGCTCTACCTGTTTTGTTCGACTCAATCCGCCGATCGGCCGCGACTTGTGTCCATCCACCTTCCCACCGAGCATCGCTACCTCCTCGACTTGGCAGGTTCTTTTTCCCTTTCCCTTTCCTCTCGCTCCCGTCGCCGGAAGGGGAGGACCAAGCCAACGACAGCACCGACATCATCGCCAGCACATCTCACTCAACCTTACTGACTCTATCGCCAAACCACACTACCCGACTCACCGAGCCTACCACTATTTGCTCGGGTTGATGAATCAGGCCTGACCTCACCTCCATTCCTCGACGACAACGACATCGTAACGACATCAATCGAGGACGCACTTCCCACCTTTGCGCACCCGTCATCATTCTGGAAGTCGGATCATTGCCAAATCCGCCCTTTTTAAAATTAATCATTCCAGCCACCGCCATCTTCGCAGCTGCACCCCCGGCTGTCGCATCTCATCGCACTGCGTGGTGTGCGCGCGCTGCGCTACTCAACTTTACCCCCCTCTTGCTTTGCGCACGCGCTCTCTGACGGCTTACACGGCGGCCCGTACTGAGCAGCGACTCTTCCCCCGCTACACCCTCTGCGTGTCTGGGTTTTTCCCAAAGTCAACCAGCTGACTGACTGCGCCCTTGTGCCTCCGTCGTAGCCCACTTGGTCATGATTCTTGCCCTTCCAACGTTTGGACGGACTTTTTTGATAGCAGGGTTCGACGGATAGCCTACGCGCTGGTCATCACCAAACTCGGCCTTTAGGCTACACCATCCTCTCCCCCCCCCCAAAAAAAAACAACAAGACACTTAACTGCCCCACCATTACGACAACATCGCGAGGCGACGAGAGGACAGGTTCAGACGCGGCATCCGGGTGGACTCGCCGCAACCAGAGCATGGCAGAGGAGCAAGGACGAGGGCCGCCTTCTATACACAGAGAAGACCCGTCCATCCACCACCGAGAAGACGAAACTCGTCACCGACTTCCCCCCGTGGGAGCACACGAAGACCCAAGATACCCCGACGATAGGCACCAGAGACCCAACATGGCCGCACCAGTGACACTCCCCTCCATCCAGGATCCTCACGGAGCCTATGGCCAGCCCGCATACCCCAGGTCGTACCCTCCTGACCCTCGAGGTGACCCGCGCGCCGACCCTCGCGCCAGCAACTACAGCGCATCGCCCAATTCCGTGAACGGCTACCCGCCACCGCAGCCGGGCGGCCACCCGCCTCAACTGCCGCCGTTGCAGCCTCCTGGAGACCCAAGATCCCCCACCTACCCTCCCCCGCCAGACGCGAGGGACGACTACTACAGGAGTCGCCAGCCTCCTCCTCCGCCGCAATACGGCGGCGACCCCTATTACCAAGACTACCACAACCGTCAAGGCCCGCCGCCGCCGGGTCGCTATCCCGACTATCCTCCTCCCGGCCCGGGCGGTCCACGGTACGACTATCCCCCGGGCGCGCCTCGATACGACTATGGCCCAGGAGGACCTGCTATGCAGCAAGCAGCGCCTCGGCAGCGCACATCCATTGCTTGCAGATATTGCAGGAAGAGAAAAGTAAGTTCCGAGAGGAAGTTGGCAAATTCCGTCACAAAGCTAATTGTGTCTCTTTCCCAAGATTCGGTGCAGTGGCTACCAAAGCGCCCCAGGCGGCAAATGCGTCAACTGCAGCAGGATGAACCAGGAATGCATCTTTCAGCCTGTCTCTTCGTCTAGCTCGACAGCTTTCGTTCCCGTATCCGCGATCCAGGGTGGCGTTCCACCGGGCACGCCGCTCTACGGAGCCTACGGACAGCCTTTGCCTCCCGGCTCATTGCCTCCGCCGCCCTCTCAGGGTTACCCTCCTCAGCCTGGCAATGGGTACTACCAACAGCCCCTGCCATCTCCGACGGGCGGCTACTCCCCATACGATGCGCAACGTGCGGGCAGACGGCGGCCGAGAGACGATGATGTCGATGAACTCAGGCCCCCTCCGCCTGACCCGAACTCGTCAGATGATCCTCGACGTCGTTCGCCAGCCTCGAGCTCGAACCATAGCAGTCCGGGCGGTTACATGGCCTATCCGCCTGCTGGACCCGGTGGCTACGACCCAAGAGGTCCCCCGGCAAGACATAGCCCCGGACAGCCAGCGGCCGCAGCCCCGCCGCAAACTGTGGACGAGCGGGCCGCAGCCGCAACACAGCGACAAAGCAATTCTTCAACTCCTGCAGCGTCGTCTAGCTCTGTAATGAGCCTGAACAACTTGGTGGACACAAATCCCAACGACATTGATAGAAATATGCTTGGAAGACTAAACCGAGGTCCCCCGGGAAGCCAGAGGAAGTAACTGGAGCGTATGGTTGAGTAGGCGGATTCTGTTCGTAGGAACGACGTAATAACACCGCGGATATCGAACACCCTCGGTCCTGCGCAAAAAAGAAGGGGGGAAAAAAAGGAACGAATCTGCTGGCCAGGTCCTCTCTTCGCTTTGGAAGTCTCGGCGGCATCATGGAAACCCCGCTCTTAGCTCGATCCTCACGATCACGGCTGCCATTATCACGCAGCGTAACAAAGGAATTGTATATGGTTATGATTCTGGTTGCATACAAAATCATGGGAACGCGTATCGATTTTCGATAGGGGCATGAGCTTTTGGAGCAAGGGAGGGGCTTTCATTCACAAAAAGTTGGCAAGGACGGCTTCCGGGACCAGCCAAAAAAACAAAACGGTCAGCATCGTCTTGATTTTTTACTTTTTTTTTTCTCGGTGTTTTGCTGGGAGAAGGGTGAGTTGGGGAAATGGTGGGAGGTCTTCTGCTTGAGCATACCACGCGGGTTTCCCGACAACTGGGAACCTGGTTTTTGTTGCGCCTGCCTCATTGTCATTTTCTTTTCGTACACAGTCATTTCCCACAAAGGAACGGAAAGGGTCAAGATTGGTCTGCCTCACGGCACACGTCTATTTTATGTTTTGCTGTTATGCTGTCTTGTGGTCTCCTTTTTTCTCGAGTTTTTATCAACGACATTGCCTTTGTTTTCCGAATCTCCATGTAGCTGGAAGTGGACCGTATTCAACTTCTTCTATTTTTCTTTTTCTACACTAGTACCCCCTCAAGAAGAAGTTATTACGACGTCGAAGAAGACCGCGCAAGCGAACGAATCCAAAGGGTTGGGCGGCAAAGACATTATGATTTCTCTCTCCTGTTTGCGCGTCTGCAGAAGTTTGTACCCCTCCCCATACAGTGGCACCGCGAGGGCTACAAAATACCAAAATTCTTCTCTCTTCCCCCTCAGCCATGTTATTTTTCCCCTCACAAAAAAAAAACCAGGCTCTCTCAAAACGTACGGAGAAGCACCACCAGAAGACGTAACGATCAATACCGGACGGGACGGAAGTGGGAGTAATGGAGACGGAACGGAACGTAGTTGTCGAAGCGTAGCATCATAGCCTCTAGCAAGCACCTTTGCAGATGCCATCAAACCCTTCCCCCAAAACCAAATGATAATGCCAGCGTCGTCGCCATTGCCGTTGTCTGCCGCACATGTTGTCTCGTTTCTTCTTTCTCTCGGCTTCCAACCGTGGGTCCTCGACCTCTTGTGTATCCAAAAGTGACATGTCATTGCGTCGAACTAACCCCCCCCCCCCATTGTACTCTAGGGTACAGAGAATCACCTCGCAATGCGCACAATGGGAGCTTGGGTTTCGCCCAATGGCCGTCAATCTATACAACACGAGCCGTTTTTCTTTGTTTTTTGTTTTTTTGTTATGTCCTCTCTCACAAAGAGAGAAGAAGAAGCAAAAAAAAAAGGGGGGCGGAAGCTTTGACGACCCGATATTGAACGGGAAGGGAGGGAACGAGAAGGGGGAAGGCGGACGGGCGGACGGCCTGCCGGCCGCCAAACCCCAAAGTCAGGTCTAGGTTTGGGGGCCGGACCGATGCTGTCAAGTTCCGGGAACTGCCTGGTCTCATGGCAAGCAAAAACCCTCCCCCCCTTCTTCCAAAGGACGCCCCCCCCCTTCTATCATCCAGCCTATGCCGCCCGTTGACCGTCCGTCTTAGCGGGATGGCGAAAGAATGAAGAGAGGTAGGCGTCGCGGACGGGCGGGCGTGCGGGCGAAGCCTTGCGTCTTTGCCGTTTACCCTTCTCCTTCTCTTCTCCTCTTTTTCTTTTTTTCTTTATTGTCATTATTTTTTTATTCCTGTCCCGCCGCCCTCTGTCTAAACCCCTCCTCCTCGCCTCTCCCCTCTCCCCTCATCGCTCATCGGAGGCCAAGGGATCTCTCCCTTGCTTCCCCCTCCCCCTCGGCCAACGGCCGGCGGAGACCAGCAGGACCTGTCAGTCACCCCTTGTTTGTTCTCGCTTCGGGTGTCTTACCATGCCGTACGTAGCATAGTTTGGACAGCAGAGTTCCCGCAACAAAGGGCTGAAGAAGGGCCCTTTCATCCCGAGGAGACAAAGAAGGCGAAAGAGTCAATGGGCAGATAAATCACAACGAGCCGGCTGGATCTGCGCGGTTCAAATTTTACTGGCCCACTAAAAAAAAAATAGCCACGGGCTGCTTGTTCCACACCCTCGATGCGTGTGGTGCTTGTTGTGCGTGCGGTGATGGTGGTAACGTACAGGAGGCAGGCGGAGGAGAAAGGAGGAGAAAGGAGACAGGCGCGTCGAGGCGAACCGGGTCAAGCCAGGTACATTTGGGGGTGTACGAGACTCGAGAGGCAATTTATCGAGAGCCCTCCGGGACCCCTAACGCTAGTCCCGGCCCTCGCTCTCTTTCTCTCTCTCACTCTCACTCTCCTCCCCTCCCCTTCCCAGCAGGCCAACGAACGAGAGGGAGTGATGAGCCATGAGTGGTGTCCGGGCCTCAGTGCCCCTCTCCGCAATCAACGCTCATGGGGACCCAGCATTGGGTTAATCCTGGTCAAGGAAACTGCGCGAGTACGCCAAGGCAAGGGGGGGAGGGCGGCAAGGAAGGGCAAGGGAGAAAGCCGTTCGGCTGCGTTGAGCACTGTGGTGCGAAGAACCGACCAGGTATATACTCGAGTCGCACACGTACACCACACGCCATCCATGACACACACACACACACACGCACGCACGTACACACACGCACACATACATACACACATACATAAACACAAGACCATGATCCCAACCGACGGGATGATAGTCTCTACAAGATTGGTGAACGCCGCCATCAATCTCCGTCTGACAAGCCGGACAGAACCTGGTCTTGCGCGTACACACGCAGTCGCAGAAAGACGTACGGCAAAGATTGTACCCGTCATCAATATCATCAGAGGAAGACGAAGTAGTTGAACGGAGGGCGCTTGCAGCGGTACCCATGGACTGGCGTTGTCCGGGGACAGTGGTTCCCTGGCAGCTAATTACTCACATAAGTCTGTGCTTGATAGATGCAGGTCAGGCGAGGTGAGAGCGCGTACTGAGGTACTTGGGGTGGGATCCTTTGGTCGGTGTGCTTGCGCGCCCGCTTGTAAGCGTGTAAGTGCGGCCCCAAGTCCCTTTTGCAGCCGCTTCTCAACGGCGAGCCCCAAGAGTGCATGAAGCCGATTCTTTGCAGCCGCGCTAGAGATTTTGGGCTGTCGGGCTTGCGCGACTTTGAGCGGAGGCGGCGGAGGGGAGTGCGCGCCGAGCCCAACACACCATGAGCGCGAGGCAGGGAGCATACTGCACTGCAGAGGTTCCTGAATGGCCCAGCTTCCAGGTTCCTTGTCTCGAGCGGCGAACAAGCTGGTCGGCGAGGACGGGAGTTGCCTGTTTGCAATGGCGGCGGCCGTTAATGGGGCCAGAGGGCGATGCGCGCGCGCGGTGAGTCGACCGGCTAGAGTGCGACAAGCGGCAGAAGAGGATGAAGCGACTCGGTCCCCTGCCGCTCCCTGGTGCATGGGAATCTCATAGACTCTGGCCCTGAGCTCTGGTTGGTCTATTGCGATTTTTCCTCCAAGTGGATATGAACGGTGTACAATGTTTTGTAACAGCTGCTTCTGGAGAGTATGATTTCTTGGCCGCACAGGCATGCACTTTTACAGCAGATACCTACACCGCCAGCCGCGCAGTAGATGGAGACGGCTTCTTTTCGTCTCGACCTTTGCCAGGGGAAGGAGGGGAAGGAGGGGAGGGGGGTGCAAGGAGGCCATCGGATCAGCGTTGCGAAAGTATGCTTGGAGGGATGAGGGATAGGGGCTCGAGTGCAGAAGGCCTGGGCTTCGAAAGGGTGCTCATGGCGCAAGACCCGTGATACGGAAGGCACTGCAATTCGGAAGCGTTGGCAAACTGTTTCGGGTCAAGTCCAACGCGCGAGAAGGGAGGGGCTTGCCAGCCGCGGCCAGAACAAAGGAGAGAGATGGAGCCTAAAGGGAACCAGCGGCATAGTGGCCGACCACCAGGCTCCCGGGACCTTCGAGAGGGTGGCGGCGCGGTGACGGGCCTGGCGGATTGCTAGCAAAGCCCAAAGGGCGAGAAAGAGGCTAAAATCCGATCAAGGCGCATTCTCTGTCGGGGCACAAAGCGGTTTGGGCGATATGGAGCGATTTGGTGGCCCGACACTAATTCTCACAGGCTGTAGTGTTCGGTGGCTCTGCTTCTTCCGGAGAGAGGGGTCTCATCTTAGCGATGGTGGTAATGGAAATAGACGGTGAGCGAAGTCCGAGAGGACAAGGAGTGGGAGGGATAGAGAAGCGGAGAGAACATGGAAGCGGGAGGTAGAGGGACGCACGGGGTGGGATATCGCAGTGCGTACGGTGTACACACACATACACACACACACACACACACAGGGAGGGTGCGACAGGGAGGGGGGATGTGAGGAAACCGGTGGATCTTGGACATTGGCATGATCGAGGTACCTCTACCTCACTCGAGGCAAAAGGTACCAAGCGGCTACAGCCAGCATCGATGGCCCGGAACCGCCGAGGGAGAAGGAGAGGGGAAGGGAATGTCCCTATTCAGAGACCTGAGGACGTGCGGGACTCGGGGCGTGAGCAATAGCTGTTCGTCTGGCCTTGAGATGCTCGGTTCGGGCTTTGGGTTACATCCTGACGTGCAGCAATCTTGCAGGGCGACTATCCATCCGGAAGCATCAAGGCACGTCCGTACGAGCCCTGCCTCGATCGATGCGTATGGATCTGTCGGGATGCATCTAGTTGTGGGCGTACTCGACGACGGTCGTCTTGTAAACGGTGCGGTCTAGCTAGTGGCGTCCCCCCTCGTTTGGTTTGAGAGTTTGTGAAGCTGGTTCGGAAAATGTCACATGGTCTCGACCTTATGCGGCCGCCAGCGCCTCTGAGCATGGTTTATGTCTGCCGCCTTCCGTGTACAAAAGGGTGTCCCGGGACTGGCCGGCGATCTGACGTGCGGCAAGCTGATCCCGGGACTGTGCGGCCTTGTACCGTCAAAGTTGTACTCCGATCTGGAACAACCCTCAGGGTGTACAACGTGGGAAAACCTGGGGGGTCTGAAGAGGATGATGAGAGAGGGGTTTGGAGGTAAGAGGAGATACGAATTCGAAGTCAGATGGTGTATCAGGGAAAAGATGACGGCAGTGGGAGGTCTTCAGGGGGGCGTGTGAGGGGGAAAACGGAGAAAGGGATGGTATGAGGCTTCCCGACTGAAAACGACGGCGCTATGGAGTAGGCATCTTGGCTGAACTCCGGGTACGTCTTTCCTGTGCGGTGCGAAATTGAGGCTACTCTGCGACTTTCCCCGTCCGGCTGAAAGGACTGTGCCTACGTGGAAAGGATGAACATTCGGGCACACCAAGTTAGGCACGAGGCAGATGAACGGGCGCGGAGGAGGGAAGAAGCCCAGGAGCTCGGCAGAATGGGAACGCTGGTAATAGCAAGGCAGTCCTAAGGTCAAAAGCCGATCAGGTGGTTTATTGGCCGGCCAAGGACGGTAGGTCAACTGCCTGGGCTGAGCTCCTGACGCTACTTTGTGTTCTCGTTCTCACTCGGATGAAGAACACTAACCTTGAGGCTCGGCTCAGGGAGTGCATCAAAGTAAGCTTTTTGGTTTTGTTTTTTAACCGTACAAATTGCCGTCAACGTCCTTCCTCCTATGCCCATTATTTTGCGTCATCGTATCCATATATTTACAACTGGCATTGTTGTCATCATTATTAGTGCTATTGTTGTTGTTGTTGTTGTTGTTCGTCCTTGCTACATTGTCTGGAGTGGAGTTGTGGTATTGTTTATCAACTCGACATATCCCTGGCATCAAGGTGACGCCAGAATCTAGACGCGTCAGGGGAGGTGATTTCTTGTCACACATGATAAGAAGTCAACCAAATTTGTGCCTGACGACATCTTGGTATGATGGTAGGCTCCAGTACACCTCGCTAACTATACAAACATTCCTGGATCTCGAAGCAATGGCATCATGGTTGAATGCCATGCGGCTGAGAAATCGAGCCGGACGCATGAATCATTTCTCGTTCTTGTCGTCCCATCATTGTCGTTGTTCTAACATTCTTTAGGGGTACATGACGCCAGGCACAGAGGCGAGAGACGCCAAGGTAACAATTGGATATTGAATGTTGATACTTCGTAGGTCTCTCGACTAGTTTTACCTCCACCGGGGGAAGAAGAGTTATCCATCCGCCCGAAAGCCAGTGTGAATCGCATCAGCCCGACTTGCGTATTGGCGAGACCTTGAGACAGCTGCGAGCAGACGGCAGATCGAGACAAGCCGCCGCCTTGTCTCTCGTTGCTCGATCCGTCAACCGGTGCTCTCCCTTGAATGGCTCCCTCTCGGCTGCAAGGAGACGGCTGCCGCTGTCGATCCCGACTGGCCTGCACTATCGCTTGACATTCCTGGGCAGTATTGGATTTCCCCTGCCGTCTCTTAAACTAATACTGTTTTGTCGTTCCGTCGTTAGGGGCCAGAGCAGTTCAAGGGAGAAGGGTAATCATGACGACACCCGCCGAGTTCACAAAGCGAAGATTCTGGTGGTACGACGCTATCGCAATGCCAATCCACCAAGGCCGCGACGGAAGATGATTCCCGACACCCGCATTCCAATGCGGCAGTCTTGAAGGCTGCTGTGTGGCCGGCCGCCTCAAGTCAGCTGGGAAAAACGGACGCGATGCTGGCTAGGCAAGTCGAGATTCCTCCAGACAAAAAGACAAGACGTCAGAGTCGTCTGTCATCCGGGTCTTTCGAAACCTTCCTTCGTCAGAGGACCCGACTCTTCGGGACCTAACGTGCCGGAGAATGTGGCTTACCTAGAGTCATACGGGAAGAAGAGACACAGACCGAATTGTCATGGCCGGATACATTCCTCATTCGTGCGGCGTAGACCCAGAAGGCAAGAGGATACGGGCCGGGCCAGGTCGCTGCGATCAACTAGCCAAAAGCATCCACTGGCAGGCCAACCTTATTGCGGTCTCGCCCTGCTGCCTACATCAGCGCTCTTTCACCGCAACGATAACGGGCGTGTGCATATGGGTAGAAGTAAGGAGGACAGAGGCACAAGGTGGTTACTTCTAATATCTGAGTTTGTCAGGTTCAGAGGTTCATTACGGTCCCGGCTGGAACGTATTCATCTTCTTCAACATTTGCTTTGTAGCTCCCAGGGTTAGGGTTGCGCGTGCTGATGGAAACCGCAGATCAAATGGCTAGCAAGTCGTCCCACCAAGTCGCACAACCGTAGGTACGAAGGGATACTGTCCGCGGACCCATCCGGCTGCGAATGCTTCGTAGGGGGGGTGGGCAAATTCGGTGCGGCTGAAACATGTCTTACCAAATATTGCAATGTCCCTGGCGGAAGCTAGTTGACCAGATTCCCGGGAATCATGTGCCATTCCTTCTTTACGGTCGGCCGAGTGGCGCCTCTGCTTCTGTCTCTCGCACCCTTGCTTGATGTAAGACACAGCGCCGAGTTCAGCCAGCCTAGTAAGCCTTCTACCTTGGCCTCTTTCCGGAGGGCACGCGATGTCTCACCACGCATAGCTCGAGGAAGCGGTAGCCATGTCTGACTACTGATCTGTCACGGGATCTCGAGGCTTCACACGGTGTGGAGCCACAACTTGACATTGCAATTGCCACGATCACCACTCACCGACGCGGATGCTTGCGGTATCGAACTTCGACCGATGCCTACAGAGAGGGATTACTGGGACGCTGAAGGCTGCAGTGTCAAGGGAGCGAGTTGCCCAGATGGAGCTGTTACAAACCTCATTCGTAGTTTGGGCTGACAGGGCAGTAGCATCCACTCTTGAGGCTCTGGGCGGAATTCCTTGAAAGTCAAAGGTGGCCCGACTTAAAATACTTCTCAGACAGGGCATCATTGGTTTCCGATCAGTCCGTCGTACGACCTGGCGTGGGAAAACCAAGAGCCATTGCTCTTCGCGTTATTCGCCGCTATTCGTTGCGCATTCTGTGCGCTATTGTCATGGCCCACCCCTGCGGCTACCAGCCAGGCTATGCTCCAAAGACGGAGAATGGCAGGATTTCTTTTTCATCCACTATGGTGTTCTCCTAGTGGCTTTTCCTCCCCATGTTTTTTTGAACCAGAGACAGCCACTTGGGCTATTCCAGATCTCAACAAGCGGGATGGGCTGAGGCACATCGTTCCTTGCCCACTTAGAGTTGGCCTCGTGCATCCGTCCGGTTCGTCGTTTCCTAGGCATCGAGAGCAGTATTGGCTACGCAACGAGCCAATAAAGCCAATCTTAAGTTGCAAGAGGGACTATTTAGCATACATTCCGTACTATTCAGTTTCGGGTACCTAATATGTGTTGGATTGTTCTCGTTCCTCTGATGAGCAGAGTGCTCGTACTAGCAGAAGGAGATTTTGGAAGATACCGTGCTCAACCGTTCAGTCGTACGCCATTTTTTCTATTGACTGTTCGATTCCAGTGGGAATCATAATTTGAATAGCCGTCCATGTCCGTTTATCCCTCCCAGCACCCTGTTTGGATGTACCGTTACCCCAACGCGTGAGACTTTGCAACGCCGCCAACAGCTGCCACAGCGTCATGAAGCCAAGCAAAATAGATAGAACTGATCTTCAAGACCGTCAGATTGATACAGAAATGCAAAATTCAATTAATGTTTTTCTGCCCATCCCTCCTCTGCTTCCGCATGTCTCGGTGTGCGGTGTAAGGTGAAGCCACGATACTGCTCGTTTCACCTCGGTGAGCCTGCGTCTGTGCTCGGTGAAATTGGGGGTTCTCGGTCAGCTCACCGTCCGGCCGGTACGAGAAACGTGGGCATATGAAGCCGGACGGGGCCGGAAGGTCCGGACGGGGCCGCGCGGAACGCCGGAGTTTCTCAACCTATCCCAGGACAAGCGAATGCTAGGTTCACACAGGCACCCAAGGCAAGCCGGCTTCAGAGGTAACAAAAGCCCGCCAGGAATACGGCAAACCCCTCGCATCGCAGTTATTTGGCGCCCAGAGATTACAATAAGCCTTTGCCTTACAAACCTCAACACATCCGCAAGATGTGCTGCTTTGGACCTCACCCAGATAAATCGTCCCAAGTATGGCGCTTCCACCAAGCAAAAGATGGAAAGGCGCAAGGTCTTTTCCATACCTCAGTTCTGGCTTCCTCGACCTGTTCAAATCGGTCTAAGCCTGAAGTGAAGCACAAAGATGCCTGATCCTCGAGGTTTGTTCTCCGGCGGACATGAACATATAGAGTTCTGGTTGTCCTGGGGCCTTGGTTCTGTTGGCCGTCCTTGCATCACCCCGGCCGGCTCTGCCGACCGATCCGAACTTGTTGTCGATCTACACTTCCCTCGTGCTAGCATTCATCGAACGCCACTAATCCCTGGTGATAGTGGTGTGGTGCTGCTGCTTTGCCGCTGGCTAGACCGCACGCCCGGCCGCCTACCTGCTCTGTGCTTCGTGGCAAAGTCGCGAACGATGCCTTTCTAGGGTTTGGGGATATACCTATTCGGGGTCTTGACACGTCACTGGCGGTAAACTCTGTTGCATGATGGTTCGGCCGATGGTGTCAAGCCTGACCGGGCTCGCTAGAATACCGAGCTCACCAATGACACTAAGAAACATATACTCAATTAGGAAACAACCACGCGTGTTCTTGTTGTCTTCACACGTGCGGGATCTGACAGTGATACAAAATGATACGTCGTCATGAACATCGTTGGTATCATTAAGATTAGAGTGCTGGCTTTGTCAGTCTCTCCATCTATATGCTATTGGTTCTGGAGATTTTTGCGTTCAGTCTCGCTCTTCCATGGTATTATGCGCTCCTCCTTTTCTAGCTCTGTGCGTAATCAACGCAATTTCGTCCCTGGGCTTTGTCTTTCTACTACTCGTAATCGGTCTCCATGTTGGGCGTCGGCGGATCAGGTGTTGGTGTTGATGAACGTCCTTCGACGCTCATTTCTTCCCGATAGGCCATCTGTCCGTATTCGTTCCTTTCCAGCACAAAGCACCGTTCGGCGTATACGCCGTTTTCGTTCTGACGACGCCAGGCGGCGCTGAACCGTCGGACCATAACCTTTCGCCAACCGCCAACATTAATGGTGATCTGCTTCCATGGAACATCAGGAGTGGCGAGCTGCTTCTCTTGTAAGAGGAACTGGAAAGTGCGCAGAGCTGCGTCGTAGTCGCGATCCATTCCCGGGTGGACGACTTCGAGGGGGTGGAGGACGGTCTGAACGTGGAGCGTAATAGTTTGCAAGCTGCGGAAGCGGCAAATGGCGCGCAGAAACTCTGGCGGATCGCATAGAGCCACGTCCATGTCTACCTCGAGCGTATGCACGTGTGGTAGGCCCTGTGCCAAAGTCGCGATATCCTCAGCCCAGAGCGTCGGACACCGCCGGTCCTCTTCTCCAAATCCCATGTGGTCACGAAACCTAAGCACCTGCAGGGAGGCGCCATGTCTGAGGATTCCATCCAAAGGGAAGAGCTGAATGTGACAGGTCACGCTCAGTGTCTGCAGCGCCCGGATGTGGTTCGCCACCAGCAAATAGAGACCGCCTGTGGCTTCTTGTCGCTTATCCACGAGGTGAGCGCTAAAGTCCTCGCAGTGCAAACGTCGTAGCCCCGCGAGGTGAGGAAAATCGACGGCTGACAGAAAGTTAAACACGGGTACCGAAATCAAATCGAGCGACTCGAGTTGGGTGAAGTCCCAGTATGCTCGGGTATCCTCCTTGGAGTGGTTCCAGTCGTAGGATTTGAGGACCAAGTCCTTTAGGGGCGGCATGCGCTCCCCCTGAGCGAACTTGAAATTCGTTCCTTGTCCTCGGTCTTCGTAGTGGAACGTCTCGAGACGGCGGGACAGTAGGAGAAGCTGCTTGAGAGAGTTCAATCGCGTCGTGAGCGGCGGGGCTGGACTGGCAAGCTTGAGGGAAACTAGAAGGTCTGTGGGGATGGCTCGGACGTAGGTGTCTCGCAGCTGCCCCTCGAATTCTCGGAGCGGCAGATCCTCGACAAACAGCTTGGTGCCGTTGAACCGCGTTTGCTGGGGATTAAGCACATCCGACGGGAGCCAGAGGCGCCCCGATCTAAATTCGGCGTCGACGTAATGCCACCTGCAAAGATAGTTCAGCAAACTGTAGTCTCGGAACTGCGCAGCAGTCAAATGTGACGCACCGCACGGTTTTGAGTCGTTGCACCCTGTCCAGAACCCTTCGAATGCCGTCAGGGTCAAGATCGCTTCGTGCAACGACGTGGTTGGTGTAGCTGGATACATTGCGTAGGAGATTGGGGTACTGCGAGTCGGCGTCTGGGGCAACAATGCGCTCGTTGAGGCATAGAGTACGGTAGGAGATAGGCGTTGCGATGGCCTCGAAGCGCCTCGACAAGCATCGCGTGGCAGCCAGGGCGCGCTCGTCTATTTCCCGGAGCTAATATTGGCATGTGAGAAGACGCCGGGTGAAAGTAATGGGTGAGGAGAGTAATGCTTCAAATGCAGGCAAGGAACATTGAGAGAGTACATACCTGCTCAAAGATGAGAGCTAGCAGCTCGGAACTGAGGTCATTCAGAGACCATTTTTGAGGCGCTGCGCGAAGGGAGGATGCGGTAGCCATTCGCCGACAAATGGCGCTTCCACATGGAGGAGCAGGAGAGAGTCAGGGCTGAGGGGAGGTGTTGAGGAAACGTAGAGCTAGGTGAAGGGACCTCGTGGCTGGCACAGAGGGGGGGAGTAAGGGTCTTATCAACGGTTCCATCAAAGTCGAAGGTGTTGTGCTGTTGAATAGAGCTAGGATGGTCCGAAGTCATGATCCACCAGTTGACAGACGGGGCTAAGCTGTTTGCGGACAATGTCACGAGCGGGTACAGTTAAATGGACCAAGTGGCCAACAACAGCTAGCTCGTTGTGTGGCAACTGCAGGACGGGAGCAACCAGAAAGTACGCCGACAACGAAGAGGGAGAGGGCGGAGGGAGCAGGAGGAGGCCCCGGTAGAGAAGAGTGGACGGGTCGAGGGCCGGGACGGGGATGTGGAGTCAATGGGGGGTCATCGACATTAAGTCGCAGGAGCCGTGTGCAAGAGGCAAGGGAAGATGCAGAAGGATTCTTGGTTGGTACCGCTGGTATGTACGTGTTGGTGTGTGTGTGTGTGTGTGTGTGTGTGTGTGTGTGTATGCGTATGTATGGGGCGTATATGTCAAGATATGCAGTAATTGGTCTTGGATATGGGGAAGCCGAACGGGAATGGATCCCGAATGTTGACCCGACTGGGACCGGGCAACTAAGATATGATGATGACAACGGGCAAATGAATGGTAGGGAGAGACAGGGCCAGCCCCAGCCGACCAAAGGACAAGAACGACGAGAAGAAAGAATGGCGCAAATGAAGAAATGGAAAGCTAGAGAAGAAAAGGCGGAAGGGTGACGGGGAAGGACAGACTAGAAGAGCGGGTGGAAGCGAAGAGACTTTTTCAAGGCTAACAAGTCACGCGCCAAAACAGGACGGGACTGGTTTGGAAAGGAACGATGAGACAGGCCAGCCACGGCAGCAACTACCATCCGTAACAGCTCCAGTAGACATCAATAGCAAAAGATCGGCTGGAAGAAGAATAGCTGCGCGAGTACCTCGTACACACTACCGACTTCGTGGGGACAACACTGTGTCAAGCAGCGACGGTACTATTATCAGCAACAGATGGAAGCAGGTAGGGATTGGAGAGTTTTGGGACCCTGGGCAGAAAACCCCGGGTGGGGAATAGAACATGTTTCAATTCACTCGATACGCCCTAGAACGAGGACCCCTTCCTTGTACCCTGGGTACTTCGAGGTTGTGTGCAGGATGAGATATGAAAGCCCAGTGAAGCAGTAACCGCAGACCAGACCAGAGAGAGAGCGAGGGAGGGAGAGCACGCGCGCGCGCGCGAGAGAGCGAGAGCGTGTTTGTGCGAATTTGCGAATTGCGTGTTTTGTCTGAGGAAAAGCCGTCACTGTGTTTGTGAGGGAAATTCCGATGCCAGGCGTAAGGAGCGAAGAACGAGGTGAGGTGCAAAGTGTGAGGAATTGGACGTGGATGGGATGAGGAGAAAGAGGAGGTCAAGGGACGTTTCGCAAGAATGTCCCAAAAGGGAAATGCGGGTTCGAACAACATGGGAGGATCCCAGCAGGGTCTGCAGGAGGGCTCCTCCACCCTGGTCAATGCGGGGGTTGAAGCAATCCGAAGATCGCTGCCGTCTGGATGCATAGCTTTCTGTATAAATGCATACCTGAGAGGGACACGTACTCTGTGTGGTGTGTTTCTCGCTAGCTGCCTCTCTCACCTTTACTTTCACACCTTGTATAGTGTATACGTAGGCATTTTCTCCACTCCCTCACTACAAAGCTCGCAGCAGCAACTCCAACGACATCAGCATCAGCGGAGCCACGGAGGGATCCTCCGACTCCACTCCCACCTCCAGGGCCGTGGCTTCACCTCCCTGTCGTCTTCTCTCTCGTCAGGTTGGAAATCCTCCGTGTCCTCTTCTGCCGATGGGACAGCGATCCCAGATGTAAAGTGCCACTTCCCGCCGAGATGGAGCTTCATCTGTAGCCTGATGGACGCCGATCGGATCAAACCAGAGATGCGAATGTCTCCAGCTTAGGTCTAACCCCTGACTTGACCTTCACCGGTCACGCTCAAGTCCCAACTCTTCAGACCATGCTACGCTATTCTCGCCTACCCATCCCATTGTCATTTCCCAACGTCCCAGCAAACGGGCAGGCGATGGAACTCACTGTTTGGTACGCGTCGGCAGATAAGCACGCTCGCTGTGGATACCCGTCGCTCATTCACCCTCGTTCTCCCTCTCTCTCTTTTTTTTTTCTTTTTTTTTTTTTGCCAAACACCGGCTCTATCGTGGTATCGGACGATAGGCGATGGGACCAACATGGCAGGCTGCATGAGGGCGGCGGCGCTACGGTGGTGCTTCCGCAACAACTGACGATTGTTTACCTTGAATTCTGCGCCTGCGACTACGAACTACAGGCCTCCAACTGGGTTCACCATCCCAACTATACCCTGTGTGTCACCAGATGATGACAGTGTTGTCATTTTGACAACACAACTGCTTCTGTTCGTGGCCTCCTGTTCTTTGCACTCCAATCTACCAGAGAACCACCTTCGCTGCAGGGTGCTGTGTCAGCATCTGAACATTGGTCCTCTGTATGTATCATTTTGGCTGGCGGCGAGGTTGTCACTCGAGTCAACTTCCTCGATATACGCCTCCCTCACCTGTCACGCTGCTCACGATCCAATCGCGAGCCACGCCGGGAACGGACATATAGTTAAGGGAGGGGAGGGTATAACTGGCGGCAAGACAAGTGCGGTAGGGACTGCCCTCAACTTTCATCCTCGGGACCCAATCGGTGGCGAAAGCAGACAACAGTGAAGCTGGGGGTACACATCCCATGTCAACTTGAACGGTCACCCGTCCCGCTCTCTTCCACAATCACCAAGATGAAGTGATGTTTGTGGTTTGCGACGCTCGGATTGCCGCCATCAAGCTAGGAGCCCCTGTTCGACAACCTCCGTGCACTCGGAAATATTTCTGCCCGCAAGGTGTTTGGTATTAGGATGAGACCTCGGACTGAACTGGAGTTGGAATTGGACCTGAACATATCCACATAATTAGAATCATTCGGGACCCATAATCCAGAGGAGCGGTCAACATCATCGATAATTACACTGTAATCAGCAACATTCCGTTATCCGGGCTGCTGACCAGCAATAGGATGCGATTTGCTCGTCTGGTTTTGCACCTGGACCCCTGCTGCATTCGTTTTCGAACAGGGTCCCCCAGGTATCCCGCACCGCCCAGTAATGACATCCCGCATCCACCAATGTACGTACGTTCAATTGTGCTCGACAAGTGTTCTTCGTTTGTCGCCGGGACATTTTCTTTTCTTTTTCGCATCCTACTGTTCAAGAGGTGCGGCGATACCTCGATTCTGCACACTCGCCGACAGATGATGTGTCGATATAGCGCAGCCTGCATGTCAACGAACACTGGTGCTACTTGGGCCGTTCGCGGCAACCTGAACATCAGTCCAGGTTTTCGGCGATTGTGTCGCCCTGGTATCCTATTACGTGCGTAAGACATACTACCATGCACGTGCTAGGTAGTTTTTTTCCCTCCTTTTTTTGCCCCTCCTCCTGTTACTCTCATGGTGCAGTGACGATTTCGATCTCAGGGGAGAGGACAGATGTCCGAGCATGCTGTGTCAAATCCCCGGCCAGCCTGTCTGACTGCAGGCCAGTACCACCTAGCGCACTGTTCATGTGCGGGTACTTGTACGTATGCATGCATACGTCGACGAACGAACCGCATCGGGCTCGAGTCGCGACGTCGGCACTAAGGTAAACGCTGACCGGCGACAAGTCGATATGCATGCATGCATGCGGCGATAACTCCAATGCCGTTTAGATGAATGGCCCCGCCTCCAACCGCCGCAACGGCAACACCCTTCTAGCCTGAAGCTGAGTCCTTTTGCCGGCCAGCCAGCCACTCTGTTAATCGCTCACGATTGAAACCGCCGCCGTGCACGCATAGCTAACGCCACGACTCGCAAGACTGCGGACTGCAGCGACCAGCAGTGCCGGCCCGGTCCCGGCCGAGTCTTTGAGTGTCTCGAGTCGTCTGCTTCGAGCACGAGGAATGATAACATGTCGTTAGTGTACAAATCATGGGCGACGTACCCACATCCATCCGAAGCCCCTTTCCGCGGTAAAACATGGCTGGTGGCCTCAACTCCAGAACAAAGTTACGAACTCTAACAGGGCTCGCCTAGAGGGATATACAGTGGGCTGTCATCGCCCGCCCACCTTCGATCCTGGGGCGATACGACGCGACTCAATCAAACCTGTGGTTGGGTGGTTCTTCCAGAACACACCAAGGTGGATGCACGGAGCCCGAGATTGCAACTAGACTGGGTTGAGGGGAGGGTCGATCTCTGTTCCATCAGCCGCATCGTCTGATCTCAGCCCAAAGATTCCAGAGATGCGAGTGGTCCACCGAGCCCATGCACCATCCCCTGCACAGCCCGCACTAGGTTTTTTCCACGTTGCATCCTGGCCCACCGGCCCTTGACGACTTTCTTCACCAATCCCCTCGACCATCAACCTTGAATATGGGTACTAGCAGTCCTTACCTCCCTGTCTCGAAGACCTCTACGATGTAGTGTACGAACGAGCTGGCATGCATCCAGGTCAGTTACTAGTGTAGTCTTCTCTGGCAGGAACGTCGACCAATGAAACAAACTAACCCACTTTCCCGCAGCTCCATATGCCAGGCTTGGTCATAATGTGAACTTGATCCGAGACGACCGCCTTTGACGTCGTGGTCGAGCATGCCGGGTGCCTCTCCCATCCTACACCCATCGCAGCTTCGATTCAGGCGGCACAGGCGATGTACCTACTTTGAGCCCGCTCTTCTCCAATGCCTGGTTCTTCTCGTGGTTCCTTGTCTATGATAGGGCGTCGTTGAAACAAGGCTGGCAGGGGGAAGGTTCCGAGAGCCCCCCTCCCCCTCCCATAAACAAAGAATAAATAAAAATACAAAATATAGGAAAAAAATTGTAGCGCGGCAAATATTCAGGCCAACTTCGACCGGGGATGGTCTGCTATCCTCGAACGGAGCGTTCTCACCTCAAGGGAATGAAGCTTTGAACGTCGAAGAAAGGGGGGCCCGCACTGACCTTGACATCTTATGCCGAGACGGATGGTGTTTGCAGCCCAGCACGTCCCATCTCCAGGCGTTTTCTCGCCCAGCGTTGCATGCCTGTATTGGCCTCAGAAGAGACGGTCCTAATCGCCGACTCTTGGTTGGTTTAGGAAGTCCTGCGGTTGAGGAGCTGTTACTTTGAGCATCTCAACCAGGCCGGTTGGGAGTTCCTGTCTTGACGTGAGTCTGTCGTGGCTCTACTCCGCTTCTACGCCGTAGGCTGGCTAGCACAGCGGTGGCTGGTCTTGGTATTGGCATACCATCGGCCGTAATTCCCATGCCTGTCATCGGCCCAATGTGTGAACCATGGGACTTGGTTGCTCGTCCGTCAATGGTTGGTCGAGGGCTTGCTCATGATATAGGCAAGGAACACCGGGCTTTCAAGGGCTGGCGTCGGCGCAGAGAAAAAGCGAAAGAGAGAGTTGTTGCGAACGCGAACCAATAACAAGAGACACGTCCACAACGGTGGCGCCCATAACGATGGAAGACTACCATCTGATGGCCATCTTCGTTTCCTTCTACCCCGGCCGATGGGCATAAGAGCTGACAGTCGGCTCGTCAACCTTGCAGCCCCGATAGACTGCAAGAAGCGACACCCATCGGAAAGTTATTCTGAACTGTTTCCCTTTCATACACAAACTAGGACAAGTTTTTTTTGGGTTGCCCAGTGTTGCCGTCAACCCGAGCAAAACCCGGCGCCAACTGGGCTTCTTCCAGTCCCCCTCTTCGCACCAGCTTGTCACTCACACCCTCATAGGCAATCGGGTCGACTGCAACCCTCTCCCTCCCCTCCATCGCCCCATGTGCCATGCTATCAAAGAGGATACGGAATACCACAACGACCATCGTCACAAGCTCTCTGATTCGCCCGATCCCCTTGTGGCCCAGCAGAGAAGCATCTTACTTAGGGAAGTGTACGTCGCTTGTCTGTTACATACGACCATACCCACTGGAGAACTCGGGATCCCGTCCGCTCTCCCATAGATAAGCCAGTGAGGGCCGGATTAGTAGTTGGGTCGGTGACGACCAGCGAATACCTGGTGTTGTATGTTTCTGATTTTTGCTCCTAATTGCGTGACGATTTCGGTCTACTGTGCATTAGACATGAAGGCCGAAGTTGGTTTATATTATTGTACCTTTCGATTGCTAGGTTTTCGAGTATTAGGCTAAAAAAAAACGATAATAATAAATGTGCTCTTATTGAACGTTACTTACTAAATTTTTTATACTGGGTGAAGTGACGGATTCCTCCTGGAAATGCGCAATATTCAACCTCTGCACGGGATGGGTCTGTTGTAACTCACATCCACATAATGCTGGTCCTTTTGGTGGACGACTCGAATAACTTTACCTCGCGCCCCGTTTCGGCCTTATGGAGGTCGTCTGTGAGTAATAACGTCCCCGCAGACTACGAACCGGCCGAGATCGTATGTCTGCTCTTGGCGTTTGTGTTCTAGGAGAAGATAGGGAACGAGCCCACGCTGTAATCTGGAGTGTGGTAAATCGATTATTATCACTATCTTAGAGAAGGCCAATAACGTCCAGACGGTTCACCAGGTCGACTGGGTCCGGAGGATGCAGTTCTTCAGCGAGCTCGGAACCGTCACGTTCCCCATCCCACATGCAAACTGCGGAGGTTGACTTGTACAGCCCTGCAGCCATACCTGGAACGCATCTATTACTCTTCATTTATTCCCAGTCTTGATCTCTGACCATGATTCTGGCAAGACGCTGACTGCCACGCTTGATAAATCCGTATCTCTGGAGTGTGCTTACGCTGAATTCGCCTCTCCCGAGTCGAGTACCATATAGTCTCGCCCGTGGCCCGGTTTCATTACAGACGGGCTGGTTCTCGGGATATTGTCAATATGCTGTTGTATCATTCTGGTGTTGGCATACTACTGTAGTTTCTGAAGCAGCGCTGCTTTGAACACTTGCATTTTCTCCGTAATCAACACAGAAGAAATCTCAATAGAACAAGAAAATATAGTTCGGTCCAAAACGTGCAAGTATCGTACTGGCGATGGCCTTTATTGCGCCCATGTCCTGGCCCCTATCGCTTCCCAAGCTGCACCAGCAGGTCGTCCTGGCCTCCGGTCAACGTCTCTCGGTACTCATCCCCATCGGCCGGAAAGAGCAGATGGCGCGTCGGCTGCCGATGATACCGCCCTCCTCGTCTGTTACGATCGGCCTTGGGCACGCGGGTAGTGCCCCAGTCCATCATCCGCAGGTCCTTCACTTCCAGGACCCAGGTTCCGCGCCAGTTCTCTTCCTTCTCAACCACCTGCTCGAGTCTCCAGGGGACCTCGGCATTTGGGCGATACTTCCATCCCTTTTTGGCCACTACTGTCGACTCATGTTCAGGAGCTGTATGGGCTTCGAAGCCATGGCAGCATGTGCAGCAGTCGACTTTGGCATCGACCTTGGTGTCGACCTCGGCATCGTGTTTCGGCTTTTCCTTCTTGACGCCGATTATACGGACAAGTACGGCAAGGTATTGCCTTGCACGGTCATTGAATCTTCCCATTGTCGAAGCTGTGTATAGCTAAGTCTGTAGCGTCCGGCGGTCTTTGCTTGAGGTGGCTTAAGGAGATAGATGGCGGGGTAGCAGCAGTTCTGCCTTGTGCGCCTGGTTAACATAAGGGTTTGAGACGTGTTGAAAGCCCGGACGTGTTGCGTGCTTACTATTGAGCTAGAGGTATCGATCCAACGAAGTTCGGTGTTAAGCCCGCTGTCGCATAGTGCCTAAGAGAGAGGAACAAGTAGTTTTTTTCTGAAATATAGGTTTTATGCCGCTGTTCACCAGGAAACTTTTATGGTACCTACCTGGGCTGGGGGGTGTCAACATTGGTTAACCTTTCTTTCATGCGGAGGATAGTATTAATGGAATATAATTGTTCTAGACCACCATAAGCAGCCTAGCCCAGTTCACCTGGTATATTATAATCATGTACGTAGAATCCGACACATGGCACCTCTAGCCTATATTACATCTTAATCTTTTAATACGGTACAAAATACTTAATAATGTGGAGTAACTACTGAATTATACTTTACTTTGACTATAGCCTGGAGCGAATGACCCTGTGCTGCCCGCACGTTAGTGACAGTGATTGCAGCCTGGCGATAATGGTACTGTTGAACCTACCATCAAGGTCATAACAGCTTTAGAGCCACGAGGGGTAACGAACCTGCTAGCCACATGAAGACGACTTACTTTATGCCGTAAAATGGGGCTGAGAGGGGAGACTTGCCTTCCGATACTGGAAGTGTCAGACTTCGAAAACAGGAGGTCAATACTCCCACAGCTAAGACTTCATGACAGAGAAGTGTCCTACTTAGGGAAGTATATGTTGCTGGTCTGTCACATACGACCATACCCACTGGAGAACTCGGGATCCCGTCCGCTCTCCCATAGATAAGCCAGTGAGGGCCGGATTAGTAGTTGGGTCGGTGACGACCAGCGAATACCTGGTGTTGTATGTTTTTGATTTTTGCTCCTCTCAATTGTGTGTGAAGATCGAAACCAGTGTGGAGAATTTCGCTTGCTTCTTACGCTCTCTGCGGAAACCCAACGTATGATGCCTGCGATCCAATCACCCCCGACCAAAAAAACACGGCATTTTCGACAGTTAACATCTTTCAGACCGCATATTTCTGTTCCTGCCCCATTCCCCCTTCATTGCCTTGAACTCGGGATCCCAGGAGAATGCGGGGGGGCTGCGAGGCTTGGGGGGGGGGGGGGGATTTGGCATGTTAATACACCAACCTTTTCAATGGTCTCCAATCTACATATTGGTAAGATCCGCCCCATAGCCCTGATATGGCCTTATGGGAAAGTCCACGGCAGTCTGGCCTGAAGCCTCACTCGGGCCCGTTTCTGTTAGCGACGGGTGGTGATTGATGGTGAAAGCGAGAAAGCCGTCCAAATTCTCTTTGATGAACCCCACGGCTCTCTTACCACAGCAACTGCCAGGTCAATGGGTGTCGAGCCAGAATTATCCTCAATTTAGACGCTCGCCCCGTGCTCGGTCAGAAGGCCTGCAATTACATGTGCTCTTCCATGTTGCATGATGAAGAGTTGTGCGTCCAGGATGCTGTCTGTCCACTTCTCAATGGGCAACACCAGGCTCTCTTGGTTACTTTTCCCAGTGACTTTATCTAGTAGACCAACAAAGCCCAGCAGTCCCGTCGACCTCGGTACAACGGCAGTGGCCGTGCCTCTCAGCTCACTGAGGCATATCAAGGTAGCCGCCGTCCAGGAGCGGTCAGTGGCTTCGTCAATCTCGAATCCCTCGTCAAGAAGGTATCGTACAACGATTTCCATTAATTGTAGTTGGATGTTGCATTTCATCTCGGCTGGGTGCATGGCTAAGTCCTCGGCTCAAACATACCGAGCTGGTGTTGCCTGTAGTATCAGATAGCTTGCGTAATGTACCTCAAAACGCGTATTACCAATCAGCCAATACGTAAACCGTTGGTCCCTCTTGCTCTTGTCTCCTCTCGACTGCTCTCTCAGTGAGACGATGACGCTATTTCTCGCTAGTGATGGAGACAAGTGTCGAACCCCTATAAATTCGCTTTTCGAACAAGCGTCCAAGGTCGCAGTTCGCGTCCCACATCTTTCAGCAGACGAGGTTGATTATAAGGCCGTCTAAATTGGAAGCGTTATGATGGTAGCACGAGGTAAGCCGGCTTCCTGAGGGCAGTGGTCGAGGCATCGTTGCCGTCTCCTTGTCGCTATATAGCCATTCTAGCAGCAAACTTGTAATGTAAAAACACCGAATGATAGCTGACATGGAACAATCAGCGCTGACCCGGGTTGAAGAGCTCCGCTAGACAAGGATGCGTTAGCTCATCACTTAATTTCAGCCATTCATCTTAGAGAAGGACATGCAGGAGTTGCAGTAGGGAACAAAACAAATCGATTTCTGTTCTAGCGACAGTAGATTTGGGTTAATAAAGGATATGGACATGTTATGAGAATGAAACTGAATCATAGTGCTTCTATATGCCGATGTTTCAATATTCACCGACTGGACCATGTAGAAGCCGTGCCAAATCGGCCGAGATTCTGGTGGCAGAACGATGTTAATGACAAGGCTGAGGTCAGCTGCCATTCAGAGCACCACGAAGGTCTTCAGATTCTAGTGCTCGGAGCGTTATTGTAGAAGAATGGCGCGGTCTTCAGATCGAAGGCAGCATACACTGTACCCGCTCTCCTATGCTGTTGGGGGGAAGCAGAAAACACCTGGCCTTCCTGGTACATGCAATACACGGAGTGCTACTCAACGCCGCTACAAGACACGGTTCGCTTGTCAGACCCGACGATATCAGCAATCAGCATCAGTGTCCTCCTGTCCCGGTCAAAGTCACGAAACCACGACCGCCAAGCCTCGTGGCGAAGCACGTTCCCTCTGGTATGCAAGCCATCGGCGGAACAACACAAATTTCAGATCGTACCGTTCTTTCCTCAGTTGTTCATGTCGTGTGTATCACGGACTGTGCTATGCCCTAGCAAACAGCATAAAAGAGAGGAAAACGAAGTTGAGACGATGTCGAGATGGGAAACAGGAAAGCCTCGTGCGTTGTACTCTTGGACGGGCACCCGCACGTCCCGAAAGCCGAGGATGGGACGAGGAAGCTATGTCGACGGATACGTTGGATGGGCGGACGGACACTCGGGACACGAGAGAAAACAGGCATGGCTTGCGTTTTTCGTCTCTCAGTCTTCATCGACTTGCTTTTCCGTCCGTGATCGAAGCCTCCGTCCCAAGTCCGCACAGTCCTCTCCTCCCGCTGCTCAGTCACATGCCCAAAGTCCTTGTCACGATAACTGAACGTATTATCTACTTTCTATCTCTAAACAACGTCATGTCCCAAGCTAATCCGGAACGGTCCGGCGGTAAATCTGCGGTCAGGATCGGGCAAATACGACATGTAGAATCTAACAAATCTGCGGGTTCCCGGCCCCTGCATGGGAGGCAGCACTTGGGCGAGACACGCACCGAAATGAAAAGGGAAAGCTTAGGAAAGAGATAGATCCAGTAGGAATTAGCAAGAACTTCACATCACAATCATCAACGATGAGCGGCACGGACGCAGGGCATGAGGGCTGAAATTGGATCGTTAGCCAACTCCAACGCCTTTGACGGCACCAGTCGTTGTGGACGATGGGCCCACCAACCTCTAGACAATAGCAGTCTTGTGCCAAATGCTTCCCTCACTTTGTACGCGTTGCTGGCATGTGTGGTATTGTCAAGGGGAAGCATGCAGAGGAACACTGCTTGATAAGTTAGTCGCGAAGTATTTCCAATCGTGGCTTGTCATATCTCTGTGCCAAGTAGATAAAGCTACCCAAAATAGAAAAGAAGAAAAATGTTGGCAGAAAACTAAACGACTTGACTTCGTCCAGGTTTCCCTAGCCAGACGCCGTGCTTTGCTGATGCCTATACCCAATGATTTCAACTCTGCTCATCGAGCGGGCAGATCCCTCTCCACCTGCGATGGCAATGCAAACAGACGCCCATTTCTGCCGATCAAGGCTCCAAAGCAACGCGCTTTGGGACTTATTGCCGATTAACATGACACCAAGAACAATACTCTCTGGAGCCCACGACACAAATCAATATCTGTATACTGGGTCTTTCTTTTTGGAGCTCTTGGGGGTTGAATCATAAAGGTCATCGTCTGAGTCTTCGCGGACTGTGTCTTGGCGGTTTCTGAGATCGACAGTCTGGATCGGATTGCCGCTTAGGGGACCAGGCGTGGTGGCAGCGTCAGCACCATGCATCGTGACCTTGCCCAGAGCACTGTCTTGCCGTCCCAGATAGCTTGGGGTGGAGTTGAAACCCGGGTGGTAGGGTTCAAAAGCTAGACGCGGCTCCTCACTGGGCAGTTCCACTGCGCTACCAGATCCTCCGGGTCTGCTTGAGGAAGAGTAGTTGTTTTCCGGCTGGGGATCTCTAAAGGGATCCTGATCCTCTGTCGGGCGTTGCTGTTGCGCTTTTGGTGGAGGGCCTGGAGGCGGCGCGAACGACTCTGATGCCTTTCCCTTCCCGTTACCTTCAAGTGGCCTCGTTGGCAGGGCAGGAGCCGGTGTCGAACTGGAAGAAGACGGTTGCGCCTGCTGCCACTCTTGCGGCGGGTTCGGATGCTGGTGTTCAGTCGGCTGAGGACTCACGGGGCTTGCGTTATCTGACCGTGGACCAATGCCGAGCTGCTTACGGGCGCCAAGGACGGCTCTCTGGTGCTGATTGAGTGCCGACTGGAGTTGTTCATTCGTATCGATTAGATGCTCCATCGTGTCGTTGTCCGGGGAAGGGTTCTCTGCCACCATGTACATTTGTATGCTTCTTGAGGCGCTCTGACATCTGTCGGCGAATTCTTTGATCAGGTCGTTGTCGATCACCTCTTGAGGAGGAGTGTTGACTACAACCTGAGACAGGAGCTTGGCAGATGTCCGCGCTTCCTCCAGTCTGCTCGCAAGCTCCACAGGACTGGGCAGAGTACGGTTAGTATGGTTTCGAGCAAAGTAATTCTGAGAATGGGAGTCGAATGCAGGTGCATTCATCGTTCTAGGTTCAGGTCCCGTCGTCGATTGTCTCGGGTTCTAGTGAGGTATGTCAGCTGAGTGGATGATATAAATCGATTCGAAAGAACCCTTACGCCATACTGCTTGTAACTGCGCTCCTTCTCCTTCTTCCACATGGAAATAATCTCGCCAAGACCTTGGTCGTCCATCTTGGTGGCCTCAAAAGTATCCAGCGTTTCCGACAGCATTTGCCTAACGCTAGGATCGCGCGTAGATCGGTAGAGTTCCTTGACAGTATCGGCAAACTTCTTGTCCATGTTGCGGGTGAAGGTCGGGCCGGGGTTGTCGGTCAAGATGCGGATCAGCATGATCGCATTGTACTGCCATGAGGCTTTGGCATGGTTGTCCTTGGCCAGGTATTTACGGATGACGCGCGCGCACTCGGCGGCGGCGGCCGGGGAAGATTCGGCGGCGTCGACTATGGGTGGGAGGTAGAGGACTTCGTCACCCTGGAACACCGGGTCAGCAGGCAACTTCAGAGGTTGAGAATATGACGCCGATGAGCATACCTGAGCATTGGGACCTCCAGACTCGCAAAATTGTCTCTGAAAACGAGGTAAGCGATGGCCCCTGACCTTGAAAAGACGGGTTTTTGCGTACCACACTACGCGCAGCGATGGCTTCAGGCGTCTCGTTCTGCGGGTCCGAAGACGCCGACGCATCGCCGGGTCCACTGAAGCCTTGCGGAGAGAGACGTCGATCAGCACTTCCTTCGTGATGACCATGCATATGCTGGAGAGGACAAGACGCAGAGCGCTCTCAACTCACTATTTGTCGTTCGCTTCTTGATGGTACTCATCATGCGATTAACGCTGAGCCCCTTCATGGCCTTCATCTTTGTGGTCGTGGCCTGGGCAGGCGTGGGAACCAGGGGAGATGTGTGTGTCTGGAGGACGAATGCAAGGGCCCTCGAATGGATAAAGGAGCAGGCGACCGATTCAACGCGGAGAACCCGGACGGTGGGAGAGAGTGAAAATTACGGCGGCTAGACGGCGGCAGAAGCTATCGCGACCAAGTCGATAAGGCGATGACGGGTGTCTGTGTTAAAGTTTCGTGCAGAATCCGAATGACAGTAGGTGCGTGTGGTAGGCAGCGGCAGAAGATTGGAAGAAAATACGCAAGGCCTGTCGAGCTGCAGCCTGGGTGTGACGCTCGGAGGTAAGCAATCAGAAGGGATGTAGGTAAGGCGATGTCAGACGGGCCAGACGAACGGGGGGGTAATCTTAATTAAACCTCAGCCCGGCGTCCCGCGCTGGTCCACGGGGTCCTTTTAAAGCGTGTACGGGTATGCGTCGTGGTGCGTGGGCTGGACCGTTGGACGAGTGCTGGCGGGGTGAAGGGGAGGAAGGCGGCGCCAACAAGGGTCAAGGTCGGGTGGGTTTGTCTGCGCCTCTCGAGATACGTAGCGAAAGTGGCCGACCGCGAGTAGTGGCGGCAGCGGCAGTCTCGAGCTTTGCGAAAGCCGGCGAGCCCCCTTGGTGCTTTCCACAGTATGCTCGATAGATGGATGCCCTAGAGATTGGCGCAAAGGCGCGGTGGCTGATCGTCGTTGTGTGTGATTGGGTCTGAAGTCATGTGTGATTTAATGAGACGGGATGGGAGAGAGGCAGGTGTCCGAGGGATCGGTCGGTGAGTGAGTGAACTGGATAGTGTATATGCAGTTGTCCCTGGCAAACAATTTCGGCGTATGTATAGCACCTTGCAATGTTGCTGTTGGAGCAAGCTGCATAGGTTGTGCAGCACTGAATGGATGCGTGTGTCAAGGAGAATGAGAGCGTTCTGTCAGCTGGGCTTTTCGCTGCTAAACCCTCTCCCCTGCCTACTGCGGCGAAGTGTTTAGATCAGGTACCGTCAAACCGCGTCGAGACTCCCAGGAAGCATGACGACGACTCGAAGGCAAAGTGATGCTTAAGAGGAGACGGTGGGACTTGGGGGTCCTTGCTAGCTACTGTAGTGTACGTTTCCGGTACGTACCTCACGCATTATGAGTACCCTTGTCGCATTCTTAAGAAAGCCAGACCAGCCAGCATTGGGTTCCAGGGTACTTTCCCCGACGCCGTCACACCAGATTCTCGTGCAGTCTTTCCCCCTTCGGTTTCAGGAGTCCATCTAGTTCGACGTTCATCCCGCAGAATTACAGAAATTATATCTCAACTGGTTAATGGATAATCACGCTCTGAGCAACGTAGCTAGCTGACTGTCTCCCGTAATTGACATACTTGTTCATTCTCTGGGGAAGCCCACATCGATATTGTGGTCGCATCAATCAAAGACAACACTTGTTTTGACGTATGTGGGTGAATAGCCCAGACAAGATTCATGCCATAATCCAGGGTCCTATTCTATAGGAGATCGGACGGCCGTGCCACTGTGGTCTGGTCTGTCTGTCTGTCTGTCTGTCTGTCTGGCGTGTCTGCTTTTTTAATAATGTAGCCTACTGATGTTACATTGACGCCTGGTCTAGACTTGGTACCCTTTTCCGTACTAGCCGTCCGATCTCGTCCTTCTTGTTCCTCTATCCTTTTTATCTGTTGTGTTGCCGCCAGCGCCGTTCGTTTCATTCCCCCCAAAACACAAGCCCCCGGCCCTTCTTCAGCCAAGTGCACTTACACTGTAATGTAAGTCTGCACAGCCTCACTTTTCCACGCAAGCACTTACAACCTCTCACCACTTACGTACGTAGAGGACAGCGCCACGAGACCTGCTGCATCGCAGCACCTTTTAGTCTCGTCCGTGTGGGGACGACCAAGACGCCAGATGTCAAGGGCCACGCAAATCACCCCTCTTAGCGTCCCCACGATCCTACATCGTCGGGCTGCCTCTTCTCACAAGCCTACGAAACCCCGCAGTCTGTCTCGAACTTGACCTACTCACCTGCTAGCCAAAGCGGCTCCCGCGGGACGTTTTTCGCCACAATACCTACTTTTGCTCTGCGACGAGCTGACAGTCACCTTCAGAAACCCAAGAATTGGATGATAGTTTATTATTGGCTGCTCGATATCTGCGCGAACAAGATGGCGCGGTTATCTACTGATGCTATCGCCGGCTCATCATGCACTGAGATTCGCTCGACCGGATGCCGTGATGCACATGCGCCATTCAAGACGAGTAATCATCCCCTTCATCTGACTCGTCATCGGCCGACACGTCTTCCACGATCAGATTTCCTGACCGCCCAATCTTCTGCGCCATCGTCTCCTCCTTGCTGGGCTCGTACACAACCCGGGGCATGACAGATGCGATGCGGAACTGATACTCGTGCTCATAGCCTTCGGGCTGGGTTGGCGCCTTCTCGGCAACCTCTTCAGATGCTGTCAACACGTCGTAGCATTCCACGAACGCATATAGTGACTCCATCGTAGTATCGTTCCGGAACCGGCGCACAATTCTCCCGGCGCCGGATGACTCGGGCATCTTCAGCGCAATCCGGACAACATCCTTGCTGGTCACCGGAGGCTCGTCCTCCATTGTTGTCGCCCGCCAGCGCTTCCACTTCTCGCGCTGTTCTTCGCGTCTTGCGGCAGCCTCGGCCTCTTCCTCGGCTTTCCGCGCAGCCTCCGCCGCAGCCTTTTCCGCCTCACGACGTTGTCGTGCTCTTTCTCTATCCTTGGCAAGTGAACGTTCGTAGGCTGAATCCTGTTCGTTCCGGAGGCTCCGCGTCACTTCCTGCGCTATTCTTTCCGCTCGAACACCCGCCAAGTCCAGCGCATATTTGTTAATGGCGGCCTGTGCTTCCGAAAGATACGTGGAAGCGGGCATGGGCCCAGCCAAGCGCTTGATGATACTCATTCTGGTGCTCCCTTCTTTGGGCGTGAGGCACACGATCGCCGAGAACGGGTACTTCGTGCAGTTGTATTCTTGAGCAACCTGGTACGCTTCCGAGTCCAGGATGTTGCCGCCCCACAGAATAATGTTGTTCGCCGGATCGTTGATGAAGCTGATTACATCTGGGGCCAAAAGAGTCTCTCTCGTGAAGGATTCCGTATCGTCGTGCTCGGGTGACATAAGGACCACAAGCAAAAACTTGAGTTCCTTTTTGGCCAGGTCTTGCGCCTGAGCAATGCCCCCCTCAAACCACGGCAGCTCCGTGTTTCCATACTCTTCTTCAAACTCACGTTTGAATCGCGCAGCAGTATCCCGAGGCATCAGCATGCGGCGCCCATTGGTGCTCCTTAACCCAGTTCCTGGCCCACTCGTGATGGCCCGTGGCCGGATCTGCCTCGGAAGGAAGTTGAGGAGGTAAAAAACCGTACGAAAGATCTTGGATGCAATGCTGTACCCGATGCTGAAGGGCGCCAGCAGCAGCCCGATCAGAAAAGGTGGCCTGTGGATGGTATTCGGCCGGGGAACGATTCGCGGCGCAGGGTCGGGCCGGTCTCGTCGGGGGGCTTGCGGTCGACCTGCTGAGGCATGCAGGCTTTCTTGGAGGTTCTCATGCCGTGCTGTTGTACGGGGGATGTCCTGTGCCATAGCCTCTGCGACTGGGTCGGGGCCTTCACCGTCAAAGAACTTGGCGATGGCGATCTAGAGACATGGTGGTCAGCGCAACGTGCAAACGGGGGGCGTGGCAAATTCCGGGTAGCAGGACACACCTGAACGTTCCATTGCGATCGCTGTAGTAGCGGTATCGCATCCTTGAGGTCTTGATTCGTGACACTCGTGTATTGCTGCAGAGCCTCTTGCTGACTTGTTGACAGCTGTCCCAAGTCCAGGTCCCCGCTCTCCGCCATGTTCACGGCTGGCTGTGGATGCAAAGCCAAGGATTAAAAGGTGAATATTGCGACGTGTTGTAAATGCGATGCCGAGTTCAGCAGTCCATGGGTCAGACAGTTGAGGAAGTCAAAAGGCAAGGGTTGCGGAAGAACTCAGACGGAGGTGGAAGCTGGGTTGGCTATGGCCAGGTATGAAGGTAGCCTAGTACCGGGAGTTGCGCTTACGACGGACGGCAGCTTGAATGGAGCAAGGCTGGGAGAGTCTAAGGATCCAAGTGTGCCATGGGAAGTCGGCAGTAAAACTAGAAGGTCAAAGGGGCGAACTGCGGTTCGGCCATGGGAAAAGAGAGGCTGGATGTGTGGGCTTCGATGGAAGTTGACGGGTGTCTGAGGTGCAGCCGCAATTGATGTCCACTGAGGGCAGTCCGGTGACGACACTTATCCGTGGGCTTTGGGGGGGAGGCAGAGACAGGAGTGGAGGGTACCTGCTTTGCCAGGCTTTGACACTGGGCCTGAGGTACCGCGTCTGCGACGGACCGCGTCCGGAAGGCCACAGCGTGTTAAGAGGCTTATCGCTAATCGGCGTGGGACTTGCCTTGCCTCTACCCGGTAATGTAAGTAAGTGGAGTACGAATCTCGCTGCCTACTTGCATATCCTGCTCGAGCACGCAACTCGTTCACTTAAGCTTGGCCAGATGGAGTTGCCTTGCGGATGCAACAACCTGGAATCTCAATGCATGACTGTGAAGAAACCGATGTTGGATGAAGCATGGGCATTTATGCAGCTTGGTTTAGTACCCGCAAGAAAGGACGCGGAATCTAACCTTCCTAGCACGCTTCTAAGACTTTCTCCTGGATAATGGGACCGCCGATGACTTATCAGCAATGTCTCGTTCTGCTGACGGGAGCAGAGGCCAAGGAGCTTTAGACGAGGATCAATCAGCTTTGAATTGGGTCTGTGCGCACCGTACAGTATGAGGGGAGGGACATGATTCAGACTCGATGCATCTAGTGAGGGAGCGTCCGAGTTGGCTGTTGTTATTGCTCGGCTCGGATAGTGGAGATGCACTCGCGCTCCGTCTGTCCACTGCTTCAGGGCGCCATTCACGCACATTTAGCGCAGGCTGGTAAGTCCAGCGCCCAGAGCATTGACTTCCAGTGACCTTGGGTTACGAGGGTGTGTCATCATCGAGTCAAGCCCGGTTGATTCTCTGGCTTCAACACCGCAGCCGACACCCAGCCTCCTGCTGCCGTCTAATCACCTTTCACCAAGGACGGTGCACCACCAATACCCGCTCCTCTCCGCCTGCCCGACCTTTTTTTTTTCTTTCTTCGCAGAGCAGGCGGGCACCTTACCTCATCATCCTCCCACCAACACCACCGCTCTCCCCGTTGCCGTCGCCGTCGCCGGTCCCTTGTCCACCTCCTATCTGCGGAGGGCTGCAGACGTCCTCCTAGTTCCGGCGCGCGCGCCTACATCTAACCCTGCCTTACCGCCGTACCCTATTCCGACGACTACGCCTTACATCATCCTGCACTCGACGGATTGATCACCAGCCAACCTCACCACCACCAACTCCGTACCGATATCGTGTGTGTCCATGACCGAGACGCCTACCCCACCAAAAGTGTTCGAGCCATGGGAAATGTCTGCAAGGATCAAGTGCGTCCGCCCAAAATTTGACCCCCGTCCGGCTTCGCGCCAGCCCCACGCGAGCTCCAGTCCTTCACAGTGTTCCATTCTTCTCTGCCCGCCTTTGTCTTCTGTCCACCCCCCGCCCAAACCAGCCCGGTCCCTCCCCGTCCACATCCAGCGCGCGCGCGTCCAAGCCATGAAAACGACCTCGACGACAATTCGACCATGGGCTCTGGATTTGGCTGACTCTTTGCAGACGTCGTAGCGTCGACCAGGGCGGCAAACCTCTTTTCCACCGAACCTATTGATCATGGCGACCTCTCGATACCCACAGTCCGACCTTCGTCGACAAGTTGGGTCGCCGAAGCCCAAAACCCGAGGCGAGTGGACGCGCCCACACATTCCCCCGACCACTTGGCCGTGACACCACAGCTGACGTACCGTCAATTGCATTAGAAAACAAAGAGACACTATGCCGAAACGTACTTATATATGGACACTGCCGATACGAGAACACGGGTTGCGCCTTTAACCATGACCAGAACCGATCCAACTCGGTCCAGAACAGCCCCGGCGGCCAGAGTAACCAGTCTGACTTGTAGGTGCCTATCTGCTACGCTGCCTTCTGTTTTTCTTCGCACAGCGATGGCCGATGTCCTTTCTCGAATGCCCGGGGGTCTTCGTACTCACCACCAATCCCCGATGCCCTCCTCCGGAAGTGTGGGGGTTTATTGGCTATTGTCAGGCTTTGCATGACGCTGCGATAGGGGACTCGAGGTCCATCTGCTCAGGTTGTTGTAGTAGTCCTATACGACAGTGTCCTTGTGCCCATGAGTCTCTTGACGAGAAACCGGGGGGGGGGGGGTTGATACAGCTTGCGGTTCTGGCTCGAAAGCATGAGATCTCCAAGATGCCACGGATAGCGAAAGCTACCTGCGCCTTGACATACGGGCTCTGGCAGTGTAGACTCAGAGGAATCGGGTCTGGAAAGGAAGGCACTGTAATGCTGGATCTTTGAGTGTTCCAAAAGGATGTGACACATACCGGAGCCAATGAGCTGTTGAGCACCGAATTAGCTCGACATCTGGACTACGAAATTTGCTTTGAAGAGCAGAGCTGACTTGTGTACCCCCGCAGCGCGAGAAAGGCACTCAATGTCGACTCACCGTCATTCACCCCGGCTGGGCTGCCCTCCGCAGCATCACCGAGCGCAAATGCGCTAGGTGGCCCTTCAAAGAAATCAACATTCTCCTCCCAAGCAGCCAGTGCAGCCGTCTTCACTCCTAGAGGAGCAGGTTGTATGTAACCCGCAAGTCTTTGATTGAGTGGAAACTCGAAGCTGAACCTTTCATAGCTGCGACGCCTGCTGTTGCTCAGGATGGTGAAGCTTCATCAACCGTTTTTAACCCCGCAACTTTCCGGGAATTTACCCCTTCCAATTTTGAACTGAGTACCGGGGTAGGAACAAGAAGTCTGTTGCCCAGTCATGGTACTATGAACTAAAGCTCTTGCAGATAACCGCCAATGGTACGGCCTCAGACGCGGGGCTCTCATTTGACCCCTTTACCATGCCCAATGTTGGCCAGGCGTTGCCGGCCACACCCTTCAACCCATATGCAGACGACCCGACTGGCCTTGCTGGCTCAAGCGCGGCCTACTTCCAACATCAAAACGCCTACACCGCCCCACTCCAGCCGGTAAGAATTACGGATTGGAAATCCGATGAGGCGAGACTAACGGTAGGTAGCTTCAATACCACCTGTACGCTCCCGTAGGGCCATACAGAGACGACCTGTTGCCATTTCAGAGACAAGTTCACGATTTTTTCTTACCCGAAAAGCTTCGTGAGGAAATGCAACGCAAGTCCGAGGCCTTACAACAGGTCATGCCGAGTAAGTTGGCACGATAACCGAGATAGTGCTTGAAGCTCACGCCACTATAGATTCGACGCTGCCTCCACTGGACAACTACTACTCTCTCGTTCCTCTTGATACCAGTCATCGAAAGAGCTCTAGCGTGTTCGGCTATACCACCTGGGTATACAAGGCGACATCGTCAAAGAGCGGGAAAACCTACTGCCTCCGACGATTAGAGGGTACGCTTCAAGATCAGGTCTCGGTCTAAATCAAACTGACGTGAATCAGGCTTCCGGTTGACCAACGAGCAGGCCATTCGCTCGGTAAAGGAATGGCGAAAGCTTAACAACGGCAGCGTGGTGACAATCCACGATGCCTTCACCACTCGGGCATTTGGGGACAGCTCCCTCTTCTTCGTTCAAGACTATCACCCTCTGTCCAAGACACTTGCCGAGGTACACTTTGCGCAACCGAACACGACCCATGGCACCCGCTTCAACGCAAAGAACCCCATCGCGGAAAGCGTCTTGTGGGGCTACGTCTCACAAATAGCCAACGCATTGAAGGCTATTCATACTCTGAATCTGGCTGCACGCTGCCTCGATATGAGTAAAGTTATCGTCACCGACAAGAACCGCATTCGGCTTAGTGCCTGCTCCATTCTGGATGTGGTCCATTTTGAAGCCCGTCGCCCAGTTCAGGAGCTACAGCAGGAAGACTTGATTCAGTTCGGCAAGCTGATACTTTCTTTGGCGACCAACACGCCGCCTAACCAGCTCACTAACCTGAAGGGATCGATGGAGCAGATGAGCCGAGTGTATTCTAAGGAGCTCACCGATACTGTCTTGTGGCTCCTGACTCCGGCCCCAGCAGGCGCCACACCCAAGGGGATCGAGGAATTTATACGGGGCATCGCGGTTCACATGGTGGCTACATTGGACGCCAGCCTGCATGAGGCTGACACGATGAAGTCCGAGTTGTTCCGAGAGTTGGAGAACGGTCGACTAGTGCGCTTGATGGCCAAGCTTGGTGCCGTCAACGAGAGACAGGAATTCGATGGCGACAGGGCGTGGTCGGAGAACGGCGAACGGTATATGCTGAAGCTGTTTCGCGATTACGTCTTTCACCAGGTTGACGCGAATGGTAATCCTGTGGTTGACATGGGCCACATCATCCGGTGCCTGAACAGGCTGGATGCTGGCAGCGACGACAGAATCTGCCTCACGAGCCGAGACGAGCAGACGAGCTTTGTAGTCAGTTATAAGGACCTGAAGAAGCAGCTCGGCAACGCTTTCGGCGAACTGCTCAAGGCGGGAAAACAGTCGACGGCGCGAGGATTCCAGGGAGCCTCTCACTAGGGCTGGGAGGACTGGAGAGTTTCCTGTTCCGATTACGATTATTACCACCGTCACCAAAACCCCGAGAAAGATGTTTCCAATTACCAGGAGCACGATGCTCGGGGTGAAATGAACAACGAGACACGCAAGGCTTGGGCGCGATGACCATTCAAATTGGTTTACGGTGTT